ACCATCTGTGGTCAAATTCAATGGTTTTCTCAGGAAGAGGACTCCCCCACCCTGTCCTTCCCTTGGCGAGCCTTCCACACAAACTCAGGAGACCTTGCTGAATGGGCTGTCACAAGGTGTAGAGGGAGTGGAATCTCCAAAATTAGGCAGAGGGTTTTCCCTGAGTATAGCTGTCCTCTCAGGGAAGGTAAGCCTTAGATCCAACCTCTGGAGGGCACCAGGTTGGGGACAGCTGTTCTAAAACATCTGTTCATAGGCAAGGTACCAGATTTAAAATAAATTCAACCATGCCCAGGACTGTTACATAGACTGGTCTGAGATTACAGTCTGTATCTTCATGTCCTCCTTCTGCAGACCTCTTAATTTGCCCTTGTGTAGAACAGGTAACAAATAATACAAATAAATGTTGATCTTCAGGTGCCACTAATGACAAAAACCTCGAGCCTGTGCTAACAATCAGGCCAACATCCGAAAAGGCTTGGGATGCAACGGGCAATTCATTTAAGGTGACCCCAGTCAAGTCTCCTCTGTTTATAGATACAAGTGAGCGTAATGTGTACCTCCCCCCCCCGCCCCGAAGGATAGCAAAGATATTGCTTTGCAAAATCAATATGAGTGGGTGCTTTGGAGAGATCCTAATGTAGCCGTGGAAGTATTCAGCTGCTCTGTTGTTCTGCCAGCTTTATTTCAGCATTGCTCCAGACTCTACAAATTATTTGATTGGATGGCTCATTGCTCATTGAACTCCATTGAACTCCATCTTTACAATACTCTCTATCATGTGCAGTATGACATTAAACAAATATCAGAGGGCATTGTTTTCTGCAGAATAATTATTTTAACTGTCAATTCATTATTTCTGGGCTATTATTCTGTAAGACCAAGTACGGCTATTTAAAATACTATTGATGCTGTAGAAAACAGTAGTAGATCTACAATTAGTTTGATAGTGCTGCAGTTTCCAATCCCCTTGTTGGCATACCTGCATATGAAATGCATTTTTGTACCATTGGTTCAGATCAGATTGTGTCTATATGCCATAATACATACCATATTTATGTATTCATATAGTCATATTCAAAGAAGCTAATAGTCATGATGGTACCACAACCCTTAATTAAAGCAACAATATATTCCTTAAAACAAATACCGCAAAGTCTTCAGACCCTAAGCCTTCATTGTAGGAAATAACTTGCATTACCAATATATTCCTGAAAAATACTTTGCTTTGCGGCAATGCTGAGGTTCTAGCCCCACTTGGTCTTGAAATTCCCTGGATGACTCTGAGCCAGGTACTGACCCATAGCTTAACCTACCTCACAAAGTTGCTGTGAAGAGGGGATCCAAGTTCCCTTGGAGTCCTTGCAAGAGGGGAAAAGGTGAGATATAAATGTAATGAATAATTTTTTAAACACTGCTTGCTCATCCCTAAGAGCACGATGTTCCACTTCAGCCCAGGACAGAATAGAGGTGGAAGCAATTGGTGGATATCAGCAGGTAGATATGGGAGGGAGGTGAGGCTGGCTAGAGCTGTTTTTTTGTTTGCTTCCTTGGTGATTGCTCTGGTTGTTTTTAGTATTTAGAGGAAATGTGGGCCACAGTGCTAGAAAGGGGATTCCATAGTCTCTCAAAAATGGGAAATGGTGAAGATCTTGCAGTGTAAAGAGGCAGGGAGAATGTGGTAGTAGTGACTTTAAACTGTGGCCCTAAAGGGTAAATAAGCATTATTATACTGGTGTGGAAAAGAGGGGGAAATGTTTATCCTCTAACCCTGAGAAGCAATCCTAATTGAAGAATCAGCAGAGAGCTTTTTAAAAAAGCAGCATGGAAATAGGACGAGGGGATGAGCTGTGGTGTTAATCACTATCAATGCCATGGGTGCAAAGAGCTGCAAGGAAGATGATCCAGGGTTTGGAAACACTGTCCTTTGAGGAGAGCCTGAGAGAACTGGGCATGTTCAGCCTTGGGTGGGGGGCGGGGGGCATGATATTCCTCTACAAGTACATCAAAGGCTGTCACAAAGAGGAAGGCCAGGATCTTTTCTGTCATACCAGAGTGTAGGATACAGAAAAATCAGCTCAAGTTGGGACAAACCAGATTCAGGCAGGATATCAGGAAGTTTCCCAACTGTTAGAACAATATGACAGTGGAACCAGTTGTGGGCTCTCCTGCACTAGAGACATTCACGAAGACAATGGAAAGCCATCTGAGTGGGATGGTGCAAACTGGTGTCCTGCACCAGCAGTTGGTTAGACCTGATGGCCTACTTGGCCCCTTCCAACTCTGCTATTCTGTGATTCTATGTAATGCTCACACAACCCCAGTCTATGCAGTGGAGGTCGAAACGGGCTTGGTACAAGCTGGGGCCATTTTCACACATAAAGCTAAAACTCCACACTAGTTGTGCTAACTTCTGATTGCTTTTGAGGACAATCACTCATAACGTAAAGGGGCATTCCAGCCCATGCTGGGTTTATTGATATCCACACTACGAGGTAACAGAAGCTGGAGTCACTGGGGCTGAGAAATTTCTTCCATCCCAAGGGCTGAATTCCATTTCAAAGGGTTTTTTTTGGGGGGGGGGAGGGTGTCACATTCCAGGGGTGGACAGGGCTGAAGTAAAGGGGGAAGGGAGCTAAAGGCAAGTGAACTGGGCCAAGCTACAACAAAACTAACTCAGTGCACTGCAGCTTAACGCTCCTACTGCTGGTAACAAGGCCTTAAGGGAAGCATTTTAACCTTTCAAAATGGGGGGAAACTGCACCAAAGATTAATGGTTGGGGGAAAGGAGTGCAGCCCCTTGGGGAACCCCAGAGCACTTGGTCTGAAATTCCCCACCAACCCCAACAGTCAGAATGTCTTGTAATGCTACTCCCTCATTTCTTTCTTGATGGATTTTCTATAGGAAAAAAGGGGGCAGAGAGACTAGGAAATTTTAGGAGGGGTGCAAACAAGTGCTGACGTTTCGACACCCCGAAAGATTCCACTAGTGCACGGGGTGGGGGGTGCAATAAAAGCCTCATGTCATGAAAGCACCCCTTTGTAGACTGATGTGTGGCTTAAGAAGAAGCCAAGGTCAGTTCCGATAATGTACTAGGATCCATTCTGAGGCTTGTAGTCTAAGAAACCCAAGAAAAATGTATCCTGCGTAATCCAATCAGCCCCCTGAGATTCAGGCAGATCATGTCTCTTCAGCTCTTGATATGGACTCCATTCCCTCTGCCTGCTTAATTTGGGTTCAGCACTGCAGGGTGCACCCATTTCTGCTGCAGCCACAGCCTCTTCGGCACCCACTGCGCCTCAGGCCGTATCGGACCGCTCAGAATCACTTTTGCACTTTCCCAGAATGTATTCCCTGGCCCTTGGGCCACAGTTTTTCTTTTGCTGTTCAATTTGCAATTTGGTATAAAGTTCTGAGCAGGAGAGGCTGACGGCAACCCTTCCTTTTGCCATTCCATGACTGCCTGCTTCCTTGACAGATATGTTACTATCCACCAGGTGCCAATAACTGTCTTGTGCGGACATGGCTACCCCACCACCGTGGGCAATAGAGAGATCGTCCTTCCTACTGGCCTTGCTGGCCTACATTTTTGTATCCTGCCCAGTTGGTTTGCCAAGGTGCTTTTGCAACAGTTCTAAATCGCCCTGCCTCTTGAAGTAGATGCAGATGTTTTTAAAAATCACCTTCTTGGAGGAGAGGCAAGTGTACCATACCAACTTTGTGGGTAGTGTCGAAGAGGGCTCCGCACAGGCCCGGAGCATCTGCAAAGCAGCATCTGCCCACTCAAACCAGGCCATTTGCAAGGAAGCAACCAGCTGTTCCCCAGTGCAGGCCTAATGGAAATGAATCAGAGACATGCAAAAGGGGACCTGCCACTTCCTTTAGCGTGGCTTGCACCGGGGGAACTTCCTGGCGGATTGTGCCCCTCCTTGTCCCCTTGAAGGAGCTGCTCTGTGCGTTGCAGCTAGCACTTCTTGCTGCCACTGGGAGCCATTCTTCTGATTATTCAAGCCTGACAGCCCACTCAGAATAAAATCCGTGCCACTGTAGAATCTGCCATCACAGCTGCATTATTTATTCACCTAAAGCAATCTCTGCCTGCTCTATAGATAGCCTATGATGTCAGTGGATTGTTTGGATCCCTGGAAGCTGGCAGGGAGCCACCTCTCACATGATACATGAAATCACTGAAAAGTGCTTCTTTTCAGGGAAAGAAAAACAGCCTAATACATGCAGTTTCGGGGTCAGGGGGGCTTTTTTCTTTCCTCCCACCACTTCTGGGACTTGTGTCTCAATGGCACGGCTCAGTAGAGTCTGTGAAGTGGAAATGAGGGCTCAGGATCACAGATCAAAATTAGGCATTTGGTATGCTCAGGATGCTCTCCCCCCCCCCCCCCCAAATCTTGGAGTGCTGCCAGTGAGTCAGACAGAAAAGAGAATTGGTACAGCAAAAGCTTTGTAGAGCTCCAGTACTGCTGGTATGTAACTTCATTTTTTCCCCGTTGGTTGGTTGGTTTAAAAAACAAAAACCCGAACAACATTCAAAAGCTATTCTTTGTTTTGTCTTACAAAATAAACAAATAGCATTCTTACAAAGTCATTTCAAAGCTGTAACAAAATGGCTCTCTGATGCCTGGATGTATGTAAAGACATTAGATGAAACACATGTAGGGAGATGCATCAATAAGCTATCATTGTAAAATTAGTCTTACAATCAAACATTTATGACAAAGAAACCTTGCTTTGCTGGGCCCAGACCTGCTGGGAGGTAGCACAATTCTACAGAAAGCAAATGAACTGATCTATCCAGTCTTGTTTATCCAAATTTAAATGTACATTTATTAAAATGAGAGTCCATGGGAAGAACATACTGTTTGTACCAATGCGATGGGCGGGAGCAAAGTAAATGAAGTGTGATACATATGAAAGCAAGGGAAAAAGGATCTGCAGCTAACATCTCCAGCAGGCAATGGTAAGGTGACATTAATGAACCGAGCATGCTCATTTTACTAAGAGCAGTGTCACATCAGAGAGAGTTGCAGAACTGGTACCGTTTTTTAAAATTGTAATTTCTGTTCCTATATTTTCAGGCACATTCGCTCCATCTGCTACTAGCAATAAAACAGAGCTGAAGACATTTTGCTTGGCGCCATGGCAGACCCATTACAGCAACCTCAGATAATAAATTGGATCACGCACCATCACTGAAATACCAGTAGTTGCCTGTAGATAACAAACATTAAGGGACATATTACACATGACACTAATTGCATCAATTTCAGTTGTGTCAGTATTTTTACAAATGCAAATTGGAGCCTAGGGTTAGTGTGTGTGTGAGGGGACAACTACACCCCTGTCAGGAACAGCCAACCCTTCCACTCCATCCTGCAGTCCCAAAGCACATCCATTCCCAGCTTCCCAAGGAAGCTACTATCTCCATCTAGAAGGAAAGCTCCCATTTGTCCATTTGCCCATGCTGGTCTTGCCGCAAAGATGAGGATGTTCCTTTCTGTACCATACAAGATCTGAAGCTTTGGGCATAGAATACAATGAAGATACTATATCAAATACAGAACGCAATAAAAACATGATAAAAATTACAGTACGAAAATTAAAAGATGGATTTAAAACCAAATTTAAATTGGTTAAATGTTCCAATATACTGTTAAAGCTAATTAAGTGTTCTTTCATAGATGACAGTAGAAAAGATGTTAGAGCTGGCACCTCCAAGTGGACCTCAGTGGAGAGCTTGTTCCATAGCTGGTGGGACATTAAAAAGGCCCTTCTTCTTGCTGCCACCCACAAAGCATTCCTTGGAAGTGGCGTTGGAGGCAAACTCCAGATTTTGATCATAGTGTCCAGGTAGATTGCAATTAAGAGAGGTGTTCCATCAAGTATTGTCCCGTGCCATGTAGAACTTTATAGATTTTTAAAGGTCTATTGGTTCAACCAGCACCTTGACTTGGGCTCGAAAGCATATAGGGAGCCAATGCAAGTGGGCCAGAATGGAAGTCATGTGTTTGGATCTTTTGGGCCCTGTTATGAATCCGCCCACTGCCTTGTGCACAAGTTTCTGAACAATCTTCAAGGGCAGCCCCATATAAAGTTCATTGCAGTAATCTATGTTAGAATTTGCCTGAGCTTAGATTACTGTAACAGGGCTAACCCTATCCATAGCCTGAAGTGGCAGAGCTGACTCAAGCAGCAGCACCAAGCAACAAGCCTGCTCTTTCAAGAGGAATATAATCTCATGAGAAGAGATTGAATACACTCCATCCAGGCAGGGGAACCACCCACAAAGAGCATCTCAGTCTTGTTTGGACTGAGCTTCAGTTAGTTAATTTTCATCGTTCATTGTCACAGTCAAGCACTGGTTGAACATCCACAGCTTCACTTGCTGAAATAAAAAGGAGAAATAGAACTGTGCGTCATCCAGAATTCCAGATGACCCCACTCAGCAGTTTTATGTACGTTTTAAATAGCATGGGGGACAAAACTTGAGCCCTGAAGAGCCCAATTCTGGAGATTTCAAGGACCGAGCAATACCACCCAAGCACCAGCTTCTGGTGCTGACTGTCCAAGCAGATGCAGAACCACTTACTCAGCCAGCCACCCCAGAAGATTACCATGGTCAATAATATTGAAAGCTACTGAGAGTTTTAGGAGTCCACAGAGGGTCACACTCTGCCAGTCTCTCTGCTGATGTAAGTCATCCTACTGGGTGACCAACCTGTTTCTGTGCCAAAACCCAGCCTGAATCCCACATGAAATGGATCCAGATAATCAGTCTCATCTAGGAATGTTTGGAACTGATTGGCCACACCAGGTCAAGAACCTTGCCCAGAAAGAAAATCTCTTTCTCTCTCTCTCTCTCCCACCCTCTCTCTCTCTCTCTCTCTCTCTTTCTTTAATATCCTGTCTTTTTCCTTTCAAGGAACTCAGAGTGGCTTACATAATTCTCCTCCTCTCAGTGTTGTCCTCACATCAGCAGCCCTGTGAGGAAGGTTGGGCTGAGAGTCCATGACTGGCCCAAGTTCACCCAGTGAGATCCATGCCTGAGCAGGGACTAACTCAGATTGCCTGAGTCCCAGTCCAGCACTCTTAACCACTGCACCACACCAGATCGACACACACTAGCCACCAGCCTAAAATTACTGAGTCTTCTGGGTTCCACAAGGAGGGTTTCTTCAGAAGTGGCCTCACCATGGCCTGTTTCAGGTGGTACAGGCCCATTTCCTCCCATAAAGAGGCATTACTCACCTCCCTGGTCCAGTGTGCTGTTCCCTCCCTGCTAGCTTTTTTTCGCCAAGAGGGGCATGACTCAAAATGGGATGCTGCCCAAAGTTGCGTTCCCACAGCACATTTGCCACCAGCTCTGCTGTAACTTTTAGGATTTCTTGCAGCACAGAGAGCAGCCACTAACGTGTGATCCTGCTCCATACAACATGCCTGTGATGGACATGGCTACACATTATGAAAGGGACAGGAAATGTAGTGGAAGGGCAACCTCCTTTTCCCGCTGGCCAAATGATCCTGCGGCAGGGGACTGGTTGCGCTGCCCATTTGCTTCCCCTGTTGATGAAGGTCCATGCCTGGCAAAGCTGCCAACTGGTGGAGGATCGCAGTGACAGGTTGGCTGCCGTTCTGCACTTCAAGATCTCCCAGCATACAGGTGTGGATGTGCTGCTCATTACAGAGGAGCCATCCTTGGCAGCATCCCATGGTCAGAGTTTTTGCACTGGAGTTCCAAGGCTGACCCTTCCCTGCAAACTCACGCCAGTTTGTAGCAGAGTCAGTCTTGGGACTTCCCTGAAAGACACCTGGAGTTGCAATTTTGGAGAGAGTGTTGAGAGTCTTGTTTCACTTGACTCCCTCCCTCGCTGTAGCGTTAAAGAACATTGTGCAGCATTTCGAAGCACAGCCTTCCACACCCAGAAATGCTTCCTGAGCTGCAGGTGCCGGAAGAGGACCGAGCAGGGCAGCCCTTACCTGGCCCCTGCAGCTCAGCACATGGACAGGGCTGCCCAGGGCCACAACAGACTGGTGCATCCCCCTGGGAAGCTCTTCAGCACCAGCTCCATTGCAATCAATGGGTGCAACACATGAGCGCAGGAGTGTCGCTCCCATGCATTTCCATGGGCCTGTGTGGGTACCCTTTTTGAGCCTCCAGTCCCAATCCAGCTTCCATGTTTACTAACGTTTCAGGACAAACAAGTGCATGGAAGTTGCAGTATCTTTCTAGTTCACCATGCCAAGCCTCTCCCTCATTCGCTGCCCCACAGCACGCTTGAATCTTTGCCTTACCCCAAAGAAAGGATGGGGAACTACCATTCTGCAGCCCATAAGGCCTCCCTGTCTCCCCCACACCCCACGGACCAAGTAGAGGGCCTTCTCCTCAGTGAAACTCCAGGCAGATTCAGGACAGGGAAACTCACTCCATTGGGATGCTGGCCTTGGGGTTCTGCTCCTTACGGTGGTGTATCCTGAGGAGCAGCAAAGGCAGGGTCCAGGCATGGTCCATGGACGAGGGGGACCCACCAGATGCCCACTCATTGGCTCAAGCCTCCAGCACAGCAGCAGCAGCATCTCTTCCTGTGGCTTGCTTCCCTGCAAAAAAGTTTATTTTTCAAATTCATAACTCGCATTTAAATGGATGCCACGCCGCGCTAATCGCTTTTAAGTCCCCTGAGATAATTATTTTAAGGGCAACCCAGCTTTAACAAGCACTTTAATTGGCTTTGTGGCATTATGAGCTACCCATGAAGAACCTAAAGAAGGATTAGGAATTATAATAACATTCATGGTTCTCCCCACCCCCACCCCCTCCCAGATTTAAGTCCCTGTGCAGGAGGGACGGTTTGGGAGAAGGCATGGATGGAGGAAATTAGAGCAGGAAATAGGAGGACAATGCGCCAGGAGAGCTGCCTCAAGGTGTCAGATCCACATGAATCCTTTTCTCCTACCCTCTTAAATACAATAGAGCTGGTTGCTATGGAAACTGGTGTAAAAGCACCCACACAGGCAGGCAGGCAAAGTCTAGAAATGAAAGGGAATGTAATATTTTTAAGGCCACTTATAAGGAATGCAAAAGAACAAGATTAGCTACATTCATCATTTGTACCCAGGGTATATAACACCCTGTGATTTATGCTACAGGGAATTAAATGAAGATGTGCAAGTTATATTGGTGAATTATAAAGTCTGCAGTGAGTGAATTGAACAGAATATTGGATGTTTTCTGCAATCAGCAGCTAAGGGATGTTTACTACAACTGTGCTAATAAGAATTCGTCATCCAGAGCGAGAAATGGGATGCAATGCCGATGAACATAATACCGTCAGGAAGTAATAATGATTTATTTCCCCTCTGCTATGAAATGTGAATAATTATCTACAACTTTAGGAGTTGTAGGAATATCAAAACTGATTTAGCCTCCGTCGCAAATATATACATGCCTAACGTTTGGAAACAAAGCACAGTCATATTTAATTGATGAGATGCATGCTGACCTTCGGCAGTCCAGGCTGTTAACTTCTAATGAGTGCCATCTTAGCTAGTAAACCAAGAGATACGAGGAGTGTAGCCTGCACAGAGCATAGGACTGACCATTCCTGTCCCCTAATTTTAGACGGATGCAGTTATGGCTACTTTGCCCATGTTTAAGTGTACTCCCATCTATTACTATATTTGCATTTCGCTAACATTCAAAGCTAGTTTTTGAACACAGCTCTGGCTGAAATCAGGCCATTAAAGGCAGTGTATCATATTTAGAGGGAGGCGATAAGCAGGTCATTATCACAAAAGAAACTTTCACTGTCAAGCAACTGGCATGAAACCTGAGGGCTGCAAAAGAGGTCTAGGATGGTATTATGCCAAACAGGAGCAGTTTTATTCCTGATAGTCGGCAAGGCTGCCGAGCATATCTTGGAAACATCTCGGTCAGCCTCCCTCAACCTGTTGCCCTCCAACTGTCTTGGATGGACAACTCCCAACATTCTCGGCCCACACTGTCCGGGGATAACAGGACTGTAGTTCAACAGAACTATGGACCACAGGGTGGGGGAAACAAACTTTACATGCACATAGGCACTATTTAAACAGAAGGTACTTTCTGTTTGCAAACATGTTCAAATCAATATCTTGTCCTTACAAATGTATGTGAAAAAAGACCGACTGCTTCATCTTCGACTTGTCCATCCAAAGTCCACAAAGGGAGAGCGGGGAGGAGGGGAGTCGCTGCTCAGCGAGAGGTGGCAAGAAAATAGGCCGGACTCATTTGCCTTGCCTTGCAGTGCCGGCACGTACAGCTGCTGCTGCCGCACTCGGGAGACCTGCATTGCTATTCAAGTCACAGCACCAGCGATAAAAGTTAGAAGGATAAAGCCCAGAGGAGTATGTTTCTTGTGACTGAGAAACTTTGAGTCTGCTCACACACCAGAATAATGATTAGTGCACATCATGTCAGTGAGAGAGAGAGAGAGAGAATGAACATGAGCTGTCATTGTGGTTGAAGCACTTCTCTGGAGCAAAGGGCTGAAACTCCCAGTTCACACAGGTTCCAAATTACCATGAATAATTAGCTACATGAAAATAGCTTCCAAAGGCTTAGTATCCATTTGGATAAGGAGAATATCCTCCTCCATTACCACATCCAAAAAACATAAGATTGCAAACCCGTAAGATTGCAAGCACCTCTTCCTAATCTGTGCAAAGCCTTTGTTCTGCTCTGTTCAGCTCCTTTCATGGACAGTGAAACATCCTGATCACCCTTCTGAAAAAAGAAAGAGAACCAACCCATCAACCTCACACACACACACACACACACACACACACACAGGGAGGCTGGGAGGGAGGGAGGGAGAATTGGAAGTGTGTGTGATTCTGCACATTGCATGCCAACCAAGCTCATTTTCTTTTTGAGGGAAGCAAGAATCTTCTAGCCGCTATTGATAATGAAGTACATCATATTTGGCCCAGTGCCTCTTTGCTTCCAGTAATAGGGCTAGCTGACCTCACAATGAGGATTTGATTTTTTGATTTCATCAGTGCTTAAGAGACTGGACAAGAGGAAGACCTGTCAGGCTGCTTCCCCCCAGGATGGTGGTGTTCATTGTGAGCATTTCAGGGTTTGGCTGCTTTCTCTCCTGTTCCACGAGGGGAGGCCTGCTGGGGCTGCCATGGCTCACTCTGAATGCTAAAGCGATGGGGATGGCTACTCTGCCTGACTTTATCCTGCCAGTGTGCACATACTTGTGGGCATGTGCGACCCACAGGAGCCCAGCATAGCCGCCTCCTCAAGATTATATCCTGCTAAATTTCATGGATGGAATGTCCCTCATCCCAAGCACTATGCTAAATAGACCCTCTTTCAGAGGATAAAATACCTCAATGGCAGCCAAAGCAGCCATGACTGAAGCAGAGCTATCATAATTCACATGTCTGCCCAGTCCACCTATGAAGGGGACAGAAGGTCTACTTTCAACAATAGACAGAGTATGAGGAAAGAGGGCTACTAGATCCTCCTTCACTCTTGCTGATTTCTCTCCTTCCAGCTTCATCCATGTTTCTCCCCGTGTGACTCTGATACTGCAAGAAGTGAAGAAAAGTAGTTGGAGTCACAGCCTGTCGGGAGATGAGGCATGGAAGGGAAGAGTTTGGAGAGAGTGCTAATCTTTGCAAGAGCGCAGGGTTCCTTAAAAGCAGGGCCCCCTCCTGCTGGGAAAACAATGCCGAATTTGCCAGCCAGACATTTCTACTGTAGCTACAACAACGGGCATTGCAAAAGGTATTATTATTATTATTATTATTATTATTATTATTATTATAACATTTCTATGCCGCCCCTTGCCGAAACCTCGGGGCGGCTTACAACATGATAAAATACATTGAAATACAATAGTACATAATAAATTACCATTAAATATAAAAATACAAAAAATACATTGATTTACAAATATAAAATTAAAATTATCAGTATAAAATAAAAATATAGGAGGAGAAAGAGAAGGAAGAAGAAGGTATGTGGATGGTGATAGCTTTCTCCACAAAATTCCAAAACTTGCCCTGCTTCTTCTCCACCTGCCTCTCCCCAGTCTTTGCTAAGGTTTTCAAGGGGCAAGAGTAGAAGTCAAGGTAGTCTGCAATGCACGGTGTTTTCAGGATACAAAATAAATGGAAATGTGCCCCCTAAGCAAAGGGTAAAGCACCCAAAGGTCAAGAGCAAGCTTTTGGCAGTGGGCATGGGATTCAGCACTGGCCTTGAGCCTTACTACACTGGTACATTTTTAACATGGTTTCACACATATCTGTTTTCACTGCCAAAGTAATAGCTACATTTAAGAATGTAGATCCTCTTTCTTCTCTGTGGTGTATCCCACATTTGTGTATGGCACAAATCACACGCATCATGCTCAGAACAACTTTGTGCAACTTTCTCCAAAATGATCCTTCTAGATGTATTGGACTACGGCTCCTACAGTCAAGAGTGGTCTTGGGGATGCTGGGAGTTGTAATACAACGCATTCTGAAGGTGCCGTATTGCTTTATTGTTTTGTTTAGAAACAGATCCAAGCTTGGAGGTCTGGGGTCAGGAAATTTGTCCAACCTAATAGCTGGATTTCTGTGCTTGGAGCACCCTTCGTGCATCTTGCAGCCAGTAGGGAAGTTGCTGAGGCTGGATTTAGTGAAGGAGGAGGGGGAAGGATGGAGAGGAGGGAGAAGGCAGGCACCACCAAGATACAAGATGCCCTGGGGCTGCCTCCCCTGCCCACTCTGAAGTTCTTCGGCTACATGGAAATCCTCCTGCCCCCAATAGGAAACCTGTAGGACCAGGATGCAAGTCATCCTGATTGGCTTGTCCCCTACGAGTTGTTCATCTTGCATTTTGTCAGAAAATGCATTAAATGGTGATGGTACAAACACACTTGATATCCTCGAATGCTTTAACCTTTCTTTGCATGTTTCATTAGTTTTACCGAATGCAGGCTCAGAGGAGTACATGCTCTGTCGTTCCTGGAGAGCACATCTGCACGGTTGTTAGCAGATTCTTCAGGTTCTGAGGCTAGGAGGATAAAATCATAGAGTCCTACAGCTGGAAAGGGCCGAGCAGGCCATCAGGTCCAACTGCCTGCTCAAGCAGGGCTCAAGTCACCCACTCAGATTTCCACCAGGTCCAAGATTAGGCAGGATCAGGCACTTCAGGCTATGGGGAAGCTTAATGAAAAATGGAGGTAAGCCCGACGGAAGCCTTAGGGCAGGGATGGGGACCCTCTGTTTCAGAGAAGTGCTGTACAGCTGCATTCCAGTGGTGGCAACGGCAAAGGGCATGACAAACAGTGCAAAAGCGTTCCATCACATCACAGCCTAAAGCTCTTACTGACGGTAGTCGAACATTAGGAAGTGTCCCAAGGCTGGCTTGGAGGAAGGGGATGGAGCCAGGGGCAGTGGATGAGACTGAGCTCCCCAGAGGGCTGGGCTGGCCTTTAGCCTGAGGCTCCACCGTGCTGCCTGCGGGGAGCTGTTTCTGGCTTCAAGTGCCTGGAATCACCACTGCTGTTGCACCAGCCGAGAAGCAGAGATGCTCCTCCGTTCTGTTTCTAAGCCGCATGAGTCTGGCTGCATGGAACTGTGTCACAGAGGGAAGTGCTGAATGGCGAACCAATCTGGCTTGCTCTTTGTGCTGGGCTCCACTGAGAGCAGAGTGATGGGAAGGGTGTTCTTTCTGGACAAATTCAGAATACCGAAGGCCTGCCCAGCCTGCAGGTCACAGTGGTGATACTGAGTACACAAGGGCACAGAAGTGCCAGGAAAAAGGAACATTACTAATTCTGTCTCATATTAATGCTTGTGTGGGGCTGATAATATACTAGTCCACAAGCAGGTAACTGTCAAGCAAACGATTATAATCCGTGAGTTGTCATTTTAGTAGACTATTAAGTTAGAGCTACGTTGCTCCAGTAAATTTATATCTCGTAGTATTGATCTTAATAAGCAGAAATGTATGTTGCTGCAGTAATGTGTGTTGCAATAACCTGTTTAAAGCTTTGTAATTTCTAACTGACTAAAAACCAAAGTGTTACTGGAACACATTATCCTGTAAATAACACCAAGGCCCTGCCCTGAACTGAGATGTGTGAGATGCGTACTAGTATTAACAAAGAACACTTTAAAAAATCAATGTGACTGTTTTATTAGATCCGGGGTAGGGACAGACATAAAACCTGGCTGCATTAAGTGAAATCCTTTGAAGTTAATAGAAGGAAGTTAATCACAATACGAATTGCCTAAAGAGTGCAGGATCAGGCTCTAAGTATTGTTTTATGTGGATAATTTTTAAAGACAAAAACCAAAACATGGCAACTGATTCTCAAAACCAGTTGTTAAATATTTGATGACATAATTAAGTCTTATTAATATACTGGCCTTTATTTTGCAAATTAAAATTTCACAAGAATTCATTTTTATCACATTAGGCTTGTATTTGTCATATTTGTTTGCTAAGCATTTGATTAATATTACATGTTACAGAAGGTTTTTTAGTTTTGCTTTCTTGTTTTTTTTTAAACCAGTTAATACTGTAGATGTAATAGCTATGTGGAATTAGTATTAATGAGTTAGTATTTATGATGCAAACAAGTTCTAAATATTACTTTTGATATTTTTATTGCCACCCAGGACAAATACAGTTCATTACAAATGAGAAATTGTTTAATCTTCAAGCTCTCTGCAATAATCAGCTAAACAAATTGTTTTTAGTGCTACTTTTGTATTGCTCTCCCTCTGCCTTTTTCATACCTCTAAAAATGCCTAATCCTAGCTTTTGTTCCTTGGGTGATTTTTCATCTTTGCCACCTCCCATGTAGCTTCTGCCAGGGACCAACTGCTGGCAAGCTGATAACCCTATGATCTAGATCCCAAGCTAGGAATGGAGTTGAGGGACCAACAGAAAGAAAAATCAATTCAAGTCAGAACTTTCCCTGAAGTTAAAAAGAACTAAATGAAGCATTCTGAACGTGGTGCTGGAAGAGAGCTTTGCTGCATGAACAAGGTGAACATGCGGGTTCTAGACTGAATCTAGACGGAGGTTTCCCTGCGGCTGGAGGCTGGCATGCTTCAGACACATCATGAGAAGGAAGACTCACTAGAGAAGACAGTAATGCTAGGGAAAGGCAAAAGCAGCAGAAGACCAACTTAAGAGGGACTGATTGCGTGAAGGAAGCCACAGCCTTGAATTCACCAGAGCTGAGCAGGGCTGGCAAGGACGGCGATTGTGGAG